ATAGCTAGGAAGGCATTTCTAGTATTGGACTACGTATGTTTCATCGTAGCCAGTCCAATACTAGAAACTATACACAGGTTCTAGAACAAAATTAGTAAATATAGAGGATTTCGACCGTTTACTTCAAGAACGAGTTTTGGAAAGAAAAAATAAAGTCTTACATGTGATCCAGTACTTGAAGTACAAAAGACTATGGTTTAATTTGGGCAACAATAAAAAACAATGAAAAAAAGGGACCCTCTTGAAATGAAAAAAGTTTATATAGAGCCGAGGCTCTAAACAATCAAATTAGACCCTGTCTCAAAAATTTCACTATAAGAGGTTGTATCTTCAAATTGATCATCTTGACATCAAGATGTATGTACATGGGAAAAAAATGGATTTCAAGTTTTGGAAATAATGTATTTTGTGACGTATTTTTTTACCGTTAATTTTCAAAATTTTCAAGTTTTCATAGATTTGTCGTTCCACACTATTTTTGAAGCTTTAAACCTTATAAATAAAGATGAAAATATATTTTAAAGCTATCACAAAGATTTCCAATATTGAAACCACATTTCTAAATACTATTTGAAGGTAGGCTCTAATTTGATTGTTTAGAGCCTAGGCTCTGTACAAACTGCACCCATGTGAAATATAAAAAATGGGGATTACTCTTTAATTTTGAAAAAGGGACTTTTTCATTAGTTGCCCTTTTATCTTTAATTTCAAATTTTGATCAATTTAATATCTATTTTTCCTTTTTAAGCGTGAGATAATCTATAAGACCATTGATTCTCCATGATCATAATGTAATCATCATCCAAATAAAGGTGGACGGCATTGGAGAGAGCACTCCATGATTCATCAAAGCATGACATGACTATGGATTCTATATAGTCATGTCATATTGTACTTCCAGTTTCTATTATATTTTTAGGGAAATTTATCAAATTGTAAAGATGAATTATTTAACATTTTGTATATCTTTTAATTTAATCTAAAAAAACCCATTAAAGTTACACGTGATCATTTTTTTTTTTTTGGTAATTCAGTGGGGATGATGAGCTCCTATCAATTTTTTTAAAAAATGGTTAGTGGTTTTTTAATGTGTTAGGTGAGAATAGAAGCCTAGACTTTAGCTGAGACACAAGTTATGCAACCACTACGACCCCAACCCCATTCTCTACACATGATCATATACTGCTTGAATAGTTTAAAATAGATAAAATGTTCCATAATTGATAAGTTAGTTGCATCATGCTAACTTCCCTACATTTTTAGCCTTATTGGAGGGTTCTAACTTTCCTTGTTTTATGCCAGTTTCTTACTTGCAACATAACAGTGGAGGTATCACCTTGTTTGGTTTCACTTTGGATCGAGGCCTGCTTCACACAATCTTTGCCTTTGAGTTCTCTTTGGTGTTATGGATTTTGAGCAAAGTTGTGGTTATTTCTTAGAGGAGATGCACTACTCCATTACTTCTCTCTCCTAGCAATCTCCTATACAATGGTTGTAAACATGTTATACAGTGTATATGAATGAGCTTTACATGGATCTCCACGCACATATGTGTTTAGAAAAAAAAAAAAGCTATTTATTTTTGATTGACGGTTAGAAATGAATTGACAACAATGTCTCATATTAATAGTAACTTAACAAAAATTATTGATACTAGTAAAAAACATTATTTTCAGCTCACTCATAATTGTATGATTAAAGATTGAACGATGACCGAATCCCAGGCACATATATGTATATGGAGGCCACTAGAAAGGTTTTGTGCTATACAATGCTGCCATAAAAGAGCATGGGCCTTGTTTGCTTGATATTCAATAAGAGTAAGGGGTTTGATGGTGATGTCTTGTTGAGCTTGTTTGGTTGCCTTAGTGTTAAAAGGTACATGAGAAGCATGAGCCCTTTTGAATAACTTGGTGGCTCCAAAATCAAATCTAGTTTGCAGAATGATCCTATTATTGGATGGACACGGTTTTTATGAGTCCATATAGAGACGAGTCTTCTCTTAAAAGTTTATTTTTGAAATGGATTTTTGGACCTAATTTTAAATAACGTATAATCTTTAACATGAAGATCATGTATATAAAAATAAATAAAATATAGATTGTAAAAAATTAAAATAATAATTTTATAAAGAAAAAATTTGGACCGTTAGTTTCAATTAGATGGACCACCTATTTGCATTCATCTTTAAGGGGATGCAAATCTAGAAATGCGTCTCCCGACGTTTGAAACAATTTTCCTTATTGAATTGGATGCACCTAGTGAATACAATTTCTAGACAGTAAATAGGGCCACACAACTTTTGAACCGTCTCTTGTTTTTGTAAAGTTGATTAGCCCAAGCCTGCTTCTAGTCTGGTCACTCGAAGGCCCGCAGGTTAAGCTCAAACAAGCATACTTGGCCTAATAATCTTTCGGGCTGGTATCAACCCCTTGGCCCCACCAAAAAATTAGACATCGTCCCACATGATTCAATTTTACATCTGGGTAGGGCAGGTCTTGGGCTTTAATGATAGAATTTGGGCCGGACCAGTCTCAAGCCCTCCACAAGGCCACCAAAAAACTCCGGTTGTGGGTAGACCAAGGTCTGGCCCAGCCCATTGGCAGCCCTAATTGCATTACATGACGCAAAGCGACATACCTAGACGATTCTAACTCAATAATAATGTACCTTCGCATGGTAATTGATCTTTATCTTGTTGAATATGTTTTTGCTTGTTTACAAAGAGATTGGAGCTTTTGAATAAGGGAAATGTTTATATGCTTCACCTACAGCATAGAAGTTCTATCCTCCCTCTACCATCCAGCCGTTCAATTTTGATCAAGAGAACCCCTCATTGTTTGATCTTAGATCCGAAGTCTCAAAGTATTTTATTTTTAGCTTTTTTTATACAAATTGTATGAGTATGAAATTCGGTACGTGCCACATTCTCATTGGGGCGCACCTATAAAAAATATTAAAAATAATTTTTTGATAAAATATAATGATCAAAATACCCCTTGAAGCTTTTGAACTGATGGCACTGGTATATTAAGGAATGGAAACCATAGCCCCCCAAGGTTTGGCAACACTGTCTCAGTCGTGTCATCTACCCGTCCAAAGGATGTCACATTGATGACAGAGGACAAGAGAGCTTCATCTCAGGCTCAAAACCGGTCTGACTTCTTCAATTCTCTTAAGAGGAAGACTCAACAAAGTAGTGCTGGGCTTTCATCAGGCTTTTACAAGTTGAGTAACAATGAAACAGAGGTTATACCTTCTCAGAATGGGTTCTTGGACAATAGTTTGTATGCTTGCTCTGAATCAGGCAAGGGAGGTGAGGAAGGAGAAGCCAAGGGTGAACAGGAAGGAGGGCGTGGAGGCACTGTGACATTTTATTTTATTGAAAATATTTATTTTCTATTTTTTGCTAGTACGAGTTTAATAGAGGAATGGACGTCCAAAATTTGGTGTCAAAATAGTTTATAAAAAAAAATAAAAAATAAAATAGTATAAAGACGTGACATTGTAATTGGGACAATCTTAGCCCTCTATTCAGAATGGACGGTTGGATAAAAGGGAGGATAGAACTTATATGGTGTAGAGGAAGCATAGAGAGCTTGCCTTTTGAATAAATGTAGCATCAAATTTATTTATTTTTGTATTTAAAACTTAGTTGTATGGATAGTGATGTAGTGTTTGTCAAGAGGGAAGTATTTGTCGGGAATGCGGTTGAGGTCAAGGTGATAGTACCACAACTACCCGTCTCAATTTAAATTCCCACTATCATGTGGTACTTTTGTTTCGTGGGAAAGAAGTCTTTTGGAAAAGTTACTCCATGAGAAAGTGGTAAGAAGTCTTTTGGAAAAGCTACTGCATGAGAAAGTGGTAGACACTGCAGTGATGCCCGGGAAAACATGTTCCTAAGTATGTTATAACACTGTATTTATGAGTAATCCGCTTCATACCTTTTGGAAAGTAGTTTCCCATGTTATAGAAAGCTCTCTATACTCTCAAGATGGTAAAATCCTGAACAATAGCTGCACCTTTTAGAGGGCGAGAATAAAATTGAGTTTCATTTATAGAGAATAGAGGATGGTACAATAGACGTAATTTATTAATGGTAATTACCAAGGATTCTTGCCACATTACAATGAACGGTTCAGATTTCTCGAAATCATCGGTATACCGCCCATTCTAGCTCCGCAAAATCTGGATCATTTGATAAAGAAACCCAGCCATCATGCATAGAGTTAGACATAGCATATGAAAATCATCAAAAGCTTGTCGCACTGACCAGTTTCCGGCACAGCCACTGACGAAACCATCACCTCCGGCTAAAATTTCAGCCACATTGGTGAGTTTACGACCATCTATGTGACAATTGCCTGCTTACCAGCCGACAGCTCCCCGGACCCCTTCTCCATTACCAACCCCTTCCCCTTATGAGAGTTGAAGTCATCGACAAAGAGGTCTTCTGGTGACTTTCCTGTGTCTTTTTGCGTGATTCCAACTGTGTCCTTGCTGCAAATCACTTCCTCCTTGCCGGAAACTGCAATTCCCTGGCTAGCTATTTGAGAACTAAGCCTTGCATTCTCCTCTTGCACCTCCTTGACCCTTCTCTTCAACGTCCTGTAACTCTCCAGCGACTTGAGCAGTTGGTCTGAGAGCTTTTGGTTCCGATCCTGCAGAGAGGCAACCTTCTCGTTAGATCCACCCCCCCTCCCCCTCCTCTCTTTGTGCTCGTTAGCGCATGTCTGAACTTTCGCCAAGAGTTTCTCATTTTGCGCTTTTAAGTCATTAAGGTGCTCCTCCATACCTCCAATCTCTTGAACTTTTCGTGCGAGTTCGGCTGATATGATCTCTTTCTCTTTGCCTAAGCTCGAGAACATCCTTTCGAGGCTTTTTCGAGCTGCCATGCTTGCAGATAGCTCTTTACGGAGGCGTTGGATCTCCTCATGAACGGGGCCACGGGGTCTTGCAGTGGGCTCATCAGGCTTGGCGTGGGGATCTGTGAAGCAGCGACGGAGCTCAGAGGAGGCAGGATCGTGGTGTGCCGGGGGGCGACCCTGCCGGTCGGGGCTGGTTGCAGTAAGGGTGGATTTGAAATTTTCAACGAGGGTTGTGAGGTTAGCGAGGAGATCTCGCTTATCCGTGTCATTGCCATTTATTTCCTCAATCGATTTGGTAAGGTGCTTTGCAGCTATCATCATGCCTGATACACATTGGATGCCAGAATCAAGACTAAGAAACATGAAGAAATTTAGTGACATTCCAGAAATTGTAGGAAATTAAACTTGATATACATTTTAAATAATACCCAATTTACCGCAGGAAAACTCGAATTGAAGAAATTGAGTGACATTCCAGAAATTGTAGAAAATTAAACTTGATTTACATTATAAATAATGCCCAAATTACCTGGTAACAGTGTAGGAAAAAATGAACCGAAACGGGGCACGGGGCCAGACGAGGTTAAACGGCCTTAACTGGGCAGCATTAAAATATAAATAAAAATAAAAAATTTAATAAAATATGAACAATATATTTAAAATATGATTAAACAATGCACATCCAAAGTTTTTAAAATGGATTTTAAAAAATTGAGTTGTGATAAGGGGTATTTTTGAAATTTTTAAAAAATTGGGAAAATATAAAAAACAAATTCCAATCTTTGTCAAAATGATGGAAAACATTTAAAAATGCATTACAAACAAAATCGTTTATTTTTGGATTTTATATATATATATATATATATTTTATTTTATTTTTTTTATTTTTTTTTTTTAAATACCCGATTAGTTCACCAAAACCAACCAAAACTGGAACCGGCCAGTTCCGATCTAACCGGACAGTTAAAATTTTGAACCGATCGATTTTTCCTACACTAATTTAGAACCAGGAACAAGAGTACTTAAATAATTTGGCCCACTCTGAACAAGGAAAGGTACTTGGTTGGGACTCTTTGATGGGTTCAATAATTTAAGGAAAAAATTATATAAGGGCGAGGCTCTAAACAATCAATTTATGGCGCACCTTAAAAATTCACTAAAAGATGTGGTTTTGAAGTCCAAAAATTGTAAAATTAATCACCTCGACCTCAAGATGTATGGACATGAGAAAAAATGGATTTCAAATCTGCGAAATAGTGCATCTTGTAATGCATTTTCAGACCGTCAATTTTCAAGATTTTTAAGAGTTCATAGATCTACTCAATCTACACCACTTTTGAAGTTTTAATTTTTATAATAAGTTGTAAAATTTTATTTTCAAGGCCATCAAAAAGAATTCGAGTATTGAAACAACATCATTCGACATTATTTGAAGGTGCGCCCTACTTTTATTCTCTAGAGCCTTGGCCTTATCCAAACTACAAAAATCTATTTTCTAAGGTAGCAACCTTAAACAATCCAATTAAGGCGCACCTCCAAATTTTATCATAACATGTAATTTTTGTACCAAAAATTCTTAGAATTATCTTAAAATCTACTTTTATCTCTAATTGTAAAATTTTAAACTCCAAAAATAATAAAAATCAAGTGGATATATAAACATATGAAAATCTTGAAAATGAACGGCCTGGATAATATGTTGCAAGACACACTATTTTTGGGACTCAAAATTCCTTCTTTTTTTTTCATATTCGATGAGATGATAAATTAAGATGGTTTTTCAACATTAAAGCAACCTTTTTCGATAGAATTTAAATACCCTGCTTATTAAAGGTTCTCAATCGAGAACAAGGATACTTCAGATATTTTTTGAAAACATTATTTGAAGAGGTATTTAACTAACTCAAATGCCTTGCTTTTTTAAGATTAAAAAAAGAAAATTATATAAGGTTAAAACCCTATATGTAGAAATAAATTTGCAATAATGTACACCGTCTATTTTACTTAGACGATTTAGATTGCACGTAGATTGGGCACTATATTAAAAGACATGTCATGTATTGACAATGTCTTAAAGATGTGACAAATCTATTTCACCCAAATAAAATGAATGGTGTAGAATATTGCAACCTTATTTTCACAAACAACATTAAAACCTTAAGCAAAACACATCCTTTTAAGATTCTCAATCCTAAATAAATGATTGAGTATTTTTGAAAATATATTTTAAGAGCCATCTAAGTGAAATGAATATTAAAAAGTAGTCTCGCTAGGGTTAATTAAGATGTTTTGACCCCTTGATGAGTTTGTAATAGGTTCTAGCCCCTTAAAATGTTATACCCCACCCCTCTTAAAAAAAAAAAAAAAAAGAAAGGAGGAAATTTGTCAAAACACCCCTATAAGATTAACTATTTAGACCAAAAAAAGAAAAGAAAAAAACAACCCCAAATAAAAAGAAAAATAAAAAAAAAGGATAGGACTTTTTTAGTGTATTATATTGTCGAAAGACATGTCGATAGTTCCCAATGAAAAGAACATTTTATTAAGGTATTGTATACTGAAAGACAACATTTTTAGTACAAGTAATAATTTAATCAGACTCAATGGATGTCAAAGCCAATGGCTTAGATATGTCAATTTGATAAATTTTCTTTTGAATTTTGAGTCTGGTCAATAGTACATTTCCAACTATCCAATTAAAAATCCAACAACCAAACTAAATAACCCCGTTGTATTAAATATAAAAAATTTTATGGTATACTTTTGGGTTTATTAAACCAAAGAAAATTTGGAGCATGTTTCTTCTTCCTCTCTTTTTAAATCAAGTTGATCCTACACCACACCAAGGTGAGTTTTGCAGTCTGAGTCGAATTAAAGTTTACCTAACTCTCCCATGATATTTAATTGTATTTGGAAAAACTGTCCAATAACTCTATAAGTGGACAATAATAGTGCAATCCCCTTCCATTTGCACTGTCAATCAATTTGTTCAGTGGAGATTGATGTGCAAGATCTTAAAGCGTAAAGATTAAAATAACCAAGAACTCCATGAAACGGAGGTGGGGAGATGGTGTTATTACCATATTTTTAAGTTTTTACTGTTTTTACTTTAAAGGAATGGGATCAAAGAAGAGCCGTTACATTTTGAGTTCCATTTCTATTATGGGTAGTAGACCCTTCTCCACTAAACTACCCCTATAAAAAATATTTTACTATATTGACTACCTAAGTTGTGACAAAGTTGACTACCGTCGTATGGAACTTCCCCTTTGATCTTCATTGTATGTAGCAATCACAAAAACCTCCAGATGCACATCTCCATTTCACCTACCCATCCTTAATTCTATTTGCGACATATTTTTCAATCTCTCTATTCTCATGAATTATCGATCTTAGATATAAAAAAACAATCTATTTTATGTATCTTGAGTTATTGACCATGAATCTTAATTACTTCTTTATTTCTATTCCTATTATTACTAAACTTGAATTCTAAATATTATTTCTTAGTCTTACTAATTTTAAAAACTTTTAAATTCTAAAACATCCCTCCTAACATTTTAAATACAACAAAACCTCTTGTGAAAGCCACAATAGTGACTCTAAAAAAATCACACGGATTAATGCCCTAGAACCACCTTATTTGGGCATCTATTTGTTATTTTTTGATAAACTCAGACAAGTATTGTTCAGACTCAGCTCAGTGGAACTGGATGACTGGGCTCAGGATCCTAACTGAATGACTGGGCTCGAGACCCTAGCGAGTCTTGATCCAAGTGTAGGTTCCAAAACAACGGTGAAATAGAACCAACAACAAGCCAAACTAGCACGATCAGGGATGATAATTCCTCTTAAAGAAGGAAACATCACTAATTTTAATGAAATGAACTCTTGGCCAAAAACCTGTTGAAGGAAAAGAAGAGATGAATAGAATTTCGAAATTTTCAAATAATTTTTTTCGCTAAATCAATTCAAAATTTTGAGTCGAATCAAACTTAATTCAAAGAAATTCATTGTGTACTTGACACAAAATTTCAGTTGCAGGGAAAAAAAAAGAATGAATATATATACACAAAGGGGACTAAATGGATTCAATCACAATAATTGAACAAAGAAAAATGAATAAATATGAAACGAACTGTAAACCAAATCCTGCGAGACTTTAAATCAAGGAAAATACAAAACATAACAAATAAACTGAAACCATCCAAAGTTTAGAGAAAGGAAGACAACCATGAAAAGATGATGAAATCCTCATCTATTTGGTCATGCTCCAAATCTGCAGAGACAGAAAATTTACCTTCCATAGTCGCACGTTCTCGGTCAGGCCTCGGACAAGGTAGAAGCTCTGGCGACGAATTCGCGTGAAGCTTGCTCATATTAAACGGCGAAATTGAACAATCTATGATCAACCTTGTCCTCCTAAAATCCTCAATGTTTTTATTTTTTTATTTTATATTTTGCAGATCAATAGAGCAAGAGCAACAATCCAATAGCCCAAGAAACTATTGAAAGAAGAGATATAAAGAGAGAGAAACCAGCAGCAAATTGAAGAAGAACAATTAATAGAAGAGATGGGAATGAGTTTTGGATGAAGATTTTAAATATGGATTGAATGAAGGAGAACCAGCCTAACCAGCCGACCCACCACCTCCAACCATATCCTATGAAGTATGCATTCTCTCTCTCTCTAACTATCTAAATCTCTCTCTATCAATCACTCTCCCTCTGTCACTTTCTCTCTCTACCTTTCTCTCTCTTCTGTCTCACCATGCAATGCATGGGAACATTGACCTTTTCATCAGCCGTGGGGTCCTCTTGCAATTACTAAAACTATAATATGGGAAGTAAATCTGGTTTTGTGGTTTTGAGCTTGGGTGGGTGTTGGGAAGTTGATTTTATTTTATTTTTTATTGGCAATAAAAACTGTTTGGCGCTTGATATTAGAGGGGAAATGACCACATTATTCTTGAAATTTGTTTGGTTGAGATTTTCCGGCTAACGTGTCAACTATCAAACCTAATTTGGAGAATCAGACAAATAATTGGTTTGGTTTTAAGGAGCCAGAAATTCGTTACTCGGTATTTTGAGAGGACGAAAACGACCTCCACGATGAAGCTGGAGGGGTGCAACGTGTTCTTTGTTTGCGATGGGATGTAATGACGAAAATGCCCTTGAAGGGTGGGGGCTCTCTAGAGGGCAGCCGGAACTAGGCCCGGCCCTGGCCCTGTACCTAGCCCTGTCCCGGCTTTGGTTTTTATGGACTCTGCGTAAGGGGATTGCCCAAGGCTATCATACAGTGTTGTTACATTTGCTTTGGAGTTTTCATCGGTCCGTCCGTTTGGAAAAAAAAAAAAGCAATTGGGCGTTTGGGTCATTTCGAAGAAAAGACTTGGGAATTTTTAAAAAAAAATTATATTTTTATATATTAAAATAATATAAATTTTAAAAATAAAAAATTCAATAAAAAGTAATAATTCCATGCTTCGGCTTTAGCTTCAGCCGAAAAAGCCGAATCAAACTGAAGCAGGCCGAAGCATAAACTTTGCTTCATTTTGGTCTAGACCAAAAACCCAAAAACTTTGACCGAAACGAAGTGGATATGGCAATTAAATAGAGTCCAACCCTACCGTCACGCCACGGTGGCTTCGGCCTCGCCTGGCCTGCCCTGGCCCGGCTCTTCTATGGCCCATGTCTAGTTTCATGGAGCGGGGCCCTATCTAGATAACGTAGAGCACCTGAGATTGCATTTGAGCCTACAGCTAGAGAGAAAAAGAAGAGCTGGCCACTTGACGCGCACTCTCCTTTGCACGTGCACAGCACGAGAGATGCGAGAGAAGCTTTTCGAAACACAAGCGGCTTGCTTGCATCAATGTGGACCACTCGTCAAACTACGATTTGCAAATTTTTTACGTGACTTGAATCTTGGTTTTGAAAATATCCTATTAGGATCGGGAGGGGACTGACCCACCTTGTAAATTGGTCTACTTGGGGTTAGACCAATCCAGTTTTGCTCGGATCTGGATTGACTGACGTGGTTATGTAATTATCCGAATCGGGGAGACGTCTGTTTTGCATGGACGATTTAATAAGAAGAACTGACAGGGCAAGTCGCAGACTTTCTTCTGAGTTGAATACGTGGTTTTAAAAATTGTAGATCAGGATCGCTATATGGTTTCTTCATGAAACTGAAAATCAGTCAGATTTGGAGAGACTTCCCATGTTCTGTTAGATGACCGGACAAGTCGATTAGAAGCAATGGCCGTCCAGATCAGAGAATCATGTGATTCTCAACAAATTTAATTTAATATTTTTTATTTTATTATCTCTATAGAGAATCAGCTGGATTTTAAGTCTTAGAACATAAGTTGAGAGTAATATTTTGGTAATATTTTATGTGCTGAGATATTTATAATTAGTCAATGTGGTTTGATATATATTTTCTTCATGTTAAATACAACATGCGTTTTGACTGTGGGAGAAGCTAGGGTATTCTTGCGTAACAATGGCTCAGGCACAGGTACATAGCCTACTAATGCACGCATGTATTAATGATCAAGGTTGAACAACATAGAAGAATGTAGTGCACATTAAAGTTAGTGTTAACTATTTAGTCATTTTGCAATGAGAGAGAACCATTTTTTGGATGTGAGAAATAATGGTTAAAGATTATGGGGGAGAGGGAAATAATCCTAAAAGAAATTTAGGAAGGCAAAGGATATTATTTTAATATGGGAGTGTACTATCCATTTACTCCCTTAAGTAAAACCCCATATAGACTTAATTTTAAGACCCAAAATTTTGGGGATGTAACTTCCTCAGTCTATAGATTAACTTCAATAAAAGAATTCCTAATTGTACCATCTAAAAGATATAACGTCTTACGATTGATTCGAGACTATCTAATTTTTAGAAGGTGAAATCTAAGTGGTAGAAAACTCTATTTCATTTAGTGATTACTGCATGCGGTTTGTATAACGCTAGGTCCTAAACAATCAAAGTAAGTCACACCTTAATACAATGTCGTAAGAGAGTTTCAGTACTAAAGATCTTTGTGATGGCCTAAAAATTTACTTTCATCTTTAATTATCAAATTAAAAAAAGTTTGTATAAGTTTGAGGCCCTAAACAATCAAACTAAGATGCACCTGGAAAATTCATTAGAAGAAGTTGTCTTGATGTCAAACAACCATCAAATCCAATCACCTCGACTTTAAGATACATATACATAAAAAAAAAAAAATGGACCTCAAGTCTTGGAAATAGTGCATCTTGTAATGCTTTATCTAGATCGTCGATTTTTGAGATTTTCAAGTGTTCATAGATATGCTTAATCTGCACTACTTTTTAAGCTTTAAATTTTATAAATAGAGATGAAAATAAATTTTCAGGCTGTCACAATGAGTTTTGGCACTAAAATGACATATTTCAACACTATTTGAAGGTGCACCTTGCTTTGATTGTTTAGAGCCTCAGCCCTGTACAAACCACACCCTATAAAATTTAAAGATAAAGTCTATATAAGGGTGAGGCCTTAAACAATCAAATTAAGGTGCACCTAAACAATCAGCCTTGTACAAACCACACCCTATTAAATGTAAATATAAAGTTTATATAAGGGTGAGGCCCTAATCAATCAGCCTTGTACAAACCACACCCTATTAAATGTAAAGATAAAGTTCATATAAGGGTGAGGCCCTAAACAATCAAATTAAGACGCACCTAAACAATCAGCCTTGTACAAACCACAATCAAGTTTACTAGAAGAGGTTGTTTCGATGCCCCAAAATCCTCAAATCAATAATCTTGACCTCAAGATATATGAACATGAGAAGAAATGGATTTCAAGTCTTAGAAGTAATGCATCGTGTAATATACTTTTCAAACAATCAATTTTCAAGATTTTTAAGTGTTTATAGATCAATTTAATATATATATTATGTTTGAAGCTTTAAATTTAATACTTAGAGATGAAAATAAATTTTCAAGCTATCAAAAAGATTTATAATATTGAAACAACATCTTTTGACACTATTTTCACTGTGTGCTTTACTTTGATGGTTTAGGGCCTCAGCCTTATACAAATCACACCTAAACTTTAGAGCCTCAAAAATAGCGTAGATTAAACTGATCTTTGAACACTTAAAAATATTAAAAATTAACAATCTAAATAAAGCAGATGCATTATTTCTAAGATTTGAATTCTTTTTTTTTTACGTCCATATATCTTAAGGTCAAGATGATTGGATTTGAGATCTTTTCAACAATAAAACAACTTCTTCGAATTTTGAAGTGCGCCTTAGTTAGATTCTCTATAGCCTTAGCCTTATATAAACTTTTTCTGTGATTATTTAGTATTTCCTCAAATTTCATGTTGAAAAAAGTCCTCCCAAATAGATCTTTTGAATGCGACAGTAGATGTACATTATATACTCCGACAAGAGTATACATGCCCTCATTAATGAAAGCTTAAAGCATGAAAAGATCACAGTAAACATGTACCTAGTTGGGCTACAGCCAATAGGAAGCGCGATGTTCATAAAAATATTACGATATATATATGTTTGGTGTGGTTTCTATAAAGTTGCAACTTTAAACAATCCAAGGCGCACCTCCAAATTTTATCATACATGTAATTTTGATGTAAAAATTTATCAGGATTATCTCAAAATCTATTTCATATCTAGTTATAAAACTTTAAACTCAAAAAATAGTTAAAATCAAGCATATCTATAAACATATAAAAATCTCGAAAATGGACGGTCTAGATAATGTGTTGCAAGATGCACTATTTTTGGGATTCAAAATCTTTTTTTCTTTTCATATTCAAACATCTCGATGTCTAAATGAACAATTAGAGAGTTTTTCAACATTAAAATAACCTTTTTCCGATGGATTCTTGAGATGCATCTCTAATTCTACATTTTAAAGTTGCAACCTTATATAAACTTTTTCCTTCTTTTTTTTTGGGGGGGTAGATTAGTGGGGAATACAGATCCCTACCCGTTTTTAGAAATAATTAGTAGTTTTCACATGTGTCAGTGGGAATGACCGGTAGCTAATGTTCAAGTGACGCTACCACCATGGTCTCAACCCCATTCCCAACTTTTTCCTATATTGTATTGACTGATAATGATATAATTACCGATACTAAGCACGGATAGGGTTTTGGATCCCGTTTCCTCTTTCATTTAAAATTTGGAATTGGATTTTAGACCTCTCAGCCATATTCTTACGGGCAAGCTTTCTATGATTTCCCTACAGCATAGAAGTTCTATCCTCCCCCTTATCCAAATGTCCATTCTAAATTGAGGGCTAAGAGTGCCCCAATCATAATGTCACATCTCTATACTATTTTATTTTTATTTATTTTTCTATAAGCTATTTTGAAATCAATTTTTGGACGTCCATTCCTCTATTAAACTCACACTAGTGAAAAATATATATATATAAATATTTTTAATAAAATAAAATGACCAAAATACCCCTAAAAGTTTTAAGGGGTATTTTGGTTATTATATTTTATCAAAAAATTATTTTTAATATTTTTAATAGGTGTGGCCCTTTGAGAAAGTGGTACGTACCAAATATCATATTCATTCAATTGCTATAAAAAAAACTAAAAATAAAATACTTTGAGATGTCGGATCTAAGATCAAACGGTGAGTGGCTCTCTTAATCAAAATTAGACGGCTGGATGGTAGGGGGAGGATAGAACTTCTATGCTATAGGGAAAGGATATAAACCTTTCCCTATTCTAACAATCTAGTTCAACTTCAGCCGATAGAGATTTGTTAAATTGGGGAAATGTTGGTTAAAAATTAAAATTAAATTAAATTGTTCAAAGTAGATTAAAATTAAATCAGGGAATTCAAGGGAAGAAATGGGATCACCACTCACTGAATTTGATTTCTAATATGGATAGTTGAGTTTTAAAATCCTGATCATAATTGTATAAAAGTACTATTTATTTTTTAAATTAAAATATAATTTCATAGGTGTTATATTTTATTTATAAATTCTACTTTTTTTATAGCATATAGTGCATTCTAATTTTATCATTATCTCTGTACAACAAATTGAGCTTAATTTAGTTTGGTGATGGTTCTCACCATAACACATCGAAAATAATAACAATAATAATAATTCAAATTAAATAAATTTAGAAAAATATCTCAAAATAACTTAAAACAAACAAAAACTTGCCAAAATACCCTAAATGTTGTAGGGGTGTTTTGATATTTTAAAATTTTGACTTATTTTTAATATTATTTATAGGACCCAGTTTCTATGCAGCCAAATCCGCATATGTAGAAATGCAGGCCCCTTAATAAATCTATTTTTGAGATGAATTTTAAGACTTAAGTTTTAAGGATATGTAATTTCTAATATGGAGATCATAAATATGAAAAAATTAATAAACTTTAAGAACTAATAATAATAATTGTAGTAAAAAAACATTTGGATCATTGTTTTTAGATGGAACATCTACTTGCATCCATCTTTAAGATAGATGTTTTACACTTTTCTGGACTGCATATGTAAAAATGCGGTCCAGCCCGCATGAAATTTCCTTATTTATATGTGTGTGATGGTGAACTGAAAAGTAGGAACATACCAAATTTGACATTAATCATATGTATAGAAAAATACAAAAATAAAGTATTGTTTATGATCTCAAAAAGTTGGATTCATATGTAAAATATAAAATATATGGGACTATTTTAAATTTTGAAAAATAAATTAGGATGTTTATATAGGCGAATAATCTCATACCACCATGTTATTGTAATATAATGAAACCACACTACTAAAAAATCACGTTTGTGGCATTTTTATAAACCCAAATATTGCATGTACATTCTCTTCATCCTAATAATCAAACTAAAAAATAAATAAAATTCAATTCGCACCCAAGGATAAAATGATTCCTCTCCAACAATGAAACTAGACCATCAATTTGACGAATTTCAAGATCAAGGTCTTTATGAATTTAAAAATTAAATTTTTTTTTAACAATGTTAATCTAATGATAATAAAACTATTTTAAAATTTTGGTTAGCCAGTCAGTGCCAATCTCCCCCATGCACTTCCAAACTTCTATCGGATACTATATTGTCCTAAAGCTTTTCATATTTTCATCGTCTTCAAAGCTTCTTTCACTTCCGTTATCTTATTCCTATAAATGCATCTATAACTTCCACCCTCATTTATGCCAAGAGTTCCTTCAATCGATGTGTTCCCACTGTGTTTGTCATTTAATAATTTTTGAAAATAAGCTCTACATAGTTCGTTCATATCATCATCATTCACCAAAACCCTTTGATCCACACTCTTAATGCAATTATAAGGTCTATATCCCTACATTTTTTTTCTCTCTTATTTTTTCTAATCTAAAAACATATTTTTCAAATTTTCTTGTTATCATATTACTATATAGATTATCATTAACCTTTTTCACTAGTGCCATTTTGAACCTCATCATCCACAATCAACTTTTTTATGAGAATTTCTTTTCTTCTAATTTCTCCTGTAACTTGTTTTTCAACCTTCTTAATATTGCCAACCATCTCAAATACAACACTCGCTCAGTCACTTTCTCTCTCTCTCTCTCCACTATCAAAACCGCACCCCCCAAAACTTTCTCTCGTAAATCTGCACCCTAAAACTGTTTTCTCTCTCTCCCACAGTCAAAATCCGCGCCCAAACGCACACTTTCTTTCGCTCTCTCTAACCAGAGGAAAAATGGACGCCCTAACTTCCTCCTGTCTACGCCTCCAAACCTTAAATCCCCCTTCTTTATGGAACCCACCCTACATTTCTTACCTTCCCCTGCCCTACACTCGACCAAATTGCCATCTTGCCCCCAGGAAACCCCTGCGTTCCCAAAGGAACCCATTCCTTCTTTTAAGGTCATCTCAGGCCGATCAGCCCACCCCTAGCAGTGGGCAACTGGCTCAGGATAAGCCTACAGAAGAGCAGCAAGAGGAGCCCAAAACCCTAGAAGAGCCTGCAGTGGAAGCGCCGCCGCCGATAGGAGGCGCCAATACGAGTGGTGGTGGTGGGTTTTGGGATGGGGTTTTGGAGGAGACAAGGGAGATCGAATGGCCAGGATTTAACAAGGTTTTGGGGACCACAGGGGTCGTGGTGGCGGTAATCGTTGGATCAAGCATCGTGCTGTTGACGGTGAACGCAGTTTTGGCTGAGATTTCTGATAGGGTTTTTGCCGGAAGAGGGGTGCAGGATTTCTTTGGATAAGGGGTGTTTTGTTTTGTATTTTGTTGTTTTTTCATTTTTTGGTTATCAGATGAGTGAGAATATTGAGTACTCTCTCTGGTACATTAGAGTAAGAATTAACTACCCTCTCTTTCTGGTATCTTAGAATTTACGTACTCTCTCAATTAAGAAGAATAATAACGCTTTCTCTCAATTAAGAAGAATAAGAACCGAGAAACAATCTCTCTCTCTTTCTCTCTATCAAGAGGAAGGCGAACCGAGATTTTTCTCTCTTGTTTTAGCCGGTTCTCTCTCTCTCTCCTGCTTGAGTGGGTTGGAGTTGTTTTTTGTTGAGGGTGTATACTATACTCCTGCATGATAACAACATATAGAAGGAGTTGGGAACCACTTAAGAATTATTTTAAATAATTTTTGAATTTTTTAGTTTTCTATCACTTATCTCGCTCCCAAATATTATCTTTGTTAAAAGGAAAAAGTTAATATAGAGTCAAGGCTCTACAATCAAATTAAAACCCACCTCAAAATTTATTCTAAAAGAGGTTGTTTTGATGTTCAAATCTCCTCAATCTCAACATCAAGATGCATTGACATGAGAAAAATGAATTTCAAGTTTTGAAAATAGTACATCTTGCAATGCATATTTGAACCATCAATTTTTCAAGATTTTCAAATTTTAATAGATCTGCTCGATCTACAATATTTTTGAAGCTTTAAATTTTATAATTAAAAATGAAAATATATTTTAAAACTATCACAAAGATTTCCAATATTGAAACCACATTTCTCGAGCTTTACTTTGATTGTTTAGACCACATTTCGCGAGCTTTACTTTGATTGTTTAGAGCCTCGGCTCTATACAAACTTTCATATCGTAGCCCCTCAAAAACGCCCAACTCAACAAATATTTTGTGAAACAAAATTCTGTATGAGAATTTAATATCATTGACCCCCCAAAATAAGCTTCAACCGTTGTTGATCAATGGATCAAGCATACAGTACGTGGACTCAGTAAAAAGCAATCAATGTCAGTACCTTCTAAAACTGTTATGAGTCCAAAAAGTTAAGAATCCATCCAGTACAACACCGTCTAAAACTGTTGTGAGTCCAAAAAGTTAAGAATCCATCCAGTACAACACCTTCTAAAACTGTTATTAGTCCAAAAAGTTAAGAATCCATCCAGTAAAACACCTTGATAGAAACACCTTCATAAAAACAATAGAACACAATAACGGAGGTTCAACCAATCGCACAACAAATTGGTATCACTAAAGGTGGGGAAGAGAGAGAGAGATCAACATATTTTTCTATTTCAGTGAGATTGGATTGAAAAAGCATGTAATTCTTCTCGACCATATTAACAATTTTGGTGTTATTTTGTCAGGATTTTGTTCAAAATCTTTAATCTCATTCTGAGAGAGAGATCAACAACAAGGTTTTCCATTCTGGTCAGATTGGATGAAAATGCAGGCAATTCTTCTCAATAACAGCAATATCTGTGTTATTTTATCAGGATTTTTGTTCAAAATTTAATCCTCAGGGAAGCCAAAAAACTTATTCATAAGCTTAGCAACTGCCATTGGATTTGAAGGGGGGTAAGGAACGAGAGTGTCCAAATCCATGTTTTGAATGGTCTCATAGAGTGTATCAGGGTATGCACAAAGAAGATGCTTTCTCTCTGCTAATTCCTCAGCCAACTCACTCTGGTGATTATCCATCAAAGCAGTATTCACAACGACAATAAGGGGTTTGCCCAAGCGTAGCGTCTCAAATATACTTCCTGACCCTGCTTGTAAAATGTAATAATGGATCAGACAGATTCAACAAATATACATATAGACAACATTCTTCCCTAGGTTTAAAAGAAAAAAAAGAAGTAGCTCTCTCTCTCTCTCTCTCTCTCTCTCTCTCACACACACACACACACACACACACACACAAGCATGCCCCAACCTATAGACACCAAGACACAACCTCTGATCTAAGCTCCCTTTCGCATAATATGACCTGTTTCTTTCTCTTGATGACCAAAAGAGCCCCTATTCTTTTTCCAACAATTGAGAAGAAAATTTAGAGTTTGCATCTCTCTCCAATATGACAAATATGCCTTTTGAATCAACTATCTTCAACATATTTTACAGAAGGAATAATAAGTAGTGAACAGATTTTCTTCTGCAGAATATTAGAAAGGAAATTAGCATTTAAGAAGATTTTCCAGTATTCACAAATATGCAGGTCTCTCCCAATCTGGACAATAAAATATGCAGATGGACATATCAGGCAAAGAAAAAGGCCCATCACTAAATCCATAGCTTTGACGAAAAATGTGAACAGCGTTCAAAAAATCAAGTTACTGATTGACAAACTATTGCAAGCGTACAATGTCTTACATCTCTAAATTACTTATGTACCTGCATGACTAATAACAAGTGATGCTGATCTCATGTGATCAGCAATGCTTGGTGAGAAACTGAAGTAGTCAACAGTTAGGGACCCATCTTCTCCCGCAGACTGAAAACAAAGATCTAAATTAATGCGCGAGAGAGAGAGAGAGAGAGAGAGAGAGAGAGAGAGAGAGAGAGAGAGAGAGAGAGAGAGAGAGAGAGAGAGAGAGAGAGAGAGTAGTAGTAGTAGTAGTAAGTAAGTAAGTAAGTAAGTAACGTAAGTAACGTAAGTAACGTAAGTAACGTAAGTAACGTAAGTAACGTAAGTAGTAACGTAACGTAACGTA